GATCGTTAATATTTTGTTTTAGTTCATTGCCTTTGGAAAATGTTCTCAGACACTCAGGTGTCTAGAAAAAAATCTACTTCTCTCGGTTCAAATTTGTAGCTCATCTCATGTATGTTTTATTGTTTTAGTTGCTACTTATTGTTTTTTTTATTGATTTTTCAAATTACAATGTGCATGAAAATAACAACAAAAACTACAACGCCAATACAATCTACTACAACATTATCGATCGGTCGGTCGGTCGATGCGTTGTCTTAAACCGCTCATTTGTAAATGATGTATTTTTTCCGTTTTTTTTTTGGTTGGGAAAAAAAATTTCCCCATTTCTTTAAAACATTTTTTCTTCTTTTCTGTTTTGTTTTACGAGCTGCACACATAACAAATTTATTTATTATTTCAATTAGTAGAAGAACGTGAGTTGAACTATATTTTATTGATTTTTGTTCAAATTGGGTAGATTCCAAATGCAAAGATAAAACAGCGATATGCAGAGCAACATAGATGATACGTACACTGCGGATGTTTTACATAAGGACAGTATATATGGGCAATAAGAAAATATAATATCATAGGTTGGTATTTTTGCCAGAAAATCAATAGGAAGGTGTTAAAGTTTGGGAGAAAAATTACTTCTGTTGTAAAAAGGGTGCAAAGTCCACCTTTAAATTTTAGATTCGTTCGACCAGTTAAATTTAGTACTAAAAGTGCACAATTTCGTCAGTATTTCTTGGACAAAATTTCCAAATAAAACCCCTTACATAGTTTAATCATATTCATATTTTTTACCTTTTCGGAAAAGATAATCGAAAAATGATAACTTTTTTACCAAAAAAGTCTTCAAAATCATTCGTTTTGAAGTTTGAAGTAATAAAATTGACCTCTAAAGACTACTATTTATTTCGAAGTTATTGCAAATTCGAAATCCAAAAACAATCTCCATATCTCAATTTCAAATTTCAGGATTTGACCACTTAGTACTTTTCGTACATTTATAGTAGACATTTCCATTACCGCCTCCATATTAAAAACCTCAGATACCAACTGTGACCTCAATATCAAATTTGAGGATTTCAGCTCTATCCTTTCTCCCAACACCAAATTTAGTACTTTTCGTACAGTTATAGTACACATTTCTACAACCACCTCCATATCTCAATGTCAGATACCAACAGTGAACTTATTTAGTATAATTATAGTACACATTTCCGAAACCACCTCCATATATTAACCATGGATACCGACATCCATATCAAATTTCGAGATTCCAGCTTTATCCCTTCATCCAGTTCCAAACTTAGTACCAATTGGTACTTTTCAAACAATTATGGTACACATTTTCAGTGAGCTTAATATTAATCTTTAGAATTCCAAATCTATCCCTTCACTAAATATCCACAGTTACAGAGTTTCAAGATTCCAGCACTATTCATTCGCCCAATATTATGTTTAGAACTATTTAGTACTTTTTCACAAATATGGTACCCATTTTTAAATAATCTTCATATCTCACCCTCAATCTCCTTCACCCTGTATCATTCAGTACTTTTCATGTGACCCTAATACCAAATAGCATACTGTACCATTTTTGAGCTTTAGTGCCGTTTTAGAACTTTTCGTAACCTTAAATTTCGAATTTCCAAAACCTTTGGTACATCTATCCGGCACACCATCAGTTACTCCCATCCCAAATTTCAGAATTCTAGGTCTTTCCGTTGGTCCAATACAATTTATACATTTTTTAGTACATTTAAGTACTTTTCGTACACTTTTAGTACGAATTTCGAATAACGTTCAGCCGTTCCGTCTCGGCGTCGATTCTAGATCAGTCAGTTATTTCACTTCTCTTTGTATGTCCATGAATTTTTATATCCTACACCACATAGTGGTAAGGGTATTATGTCTTTGTGCATTTGTTTATAACATGGAGAAGGAAGCGAGATAGAGACTTAGTTATGTTTGAGGATCTTCATAGAATTACTTTCAGAATCGATTTATGCATGTCAGACCGTCCGTCCGTCCATGTATTATTGTGAACAAAATGCAGGTTACATTTATTATCCGATTGAGACGAAATTTTGCAAACAATATTTGCTTGGCCCAAGGACGAATCCTATTGAAACTGGTGATAATCGGATCAGATTTAGATATAGCTCCCACATATCTTCCACCGATTTCGGATTAATTGTGCACCAAATGGCCAATACAAGTCCAAATGTCCTGTATTTCGGTACATCTCACCGAATTCAGTCTAGCAGCAACTTAATCAGATTTCAAGCAAATCGGTTCAGATATAGCTATAGCTCCCATATGTATGTTTCATACAATTTGGGATTTAAGTCCCTCAAATTCGTAATATGCATTCGACAACAATGATATTTGGTACCAGATATGTTATAGAGCTCGGATATACCTTTGCTAAATATTATCAAGATCGGTTCAGATATCTTCAACCGGTTTCGGGTTAATTGTGCACCAAATGGCCAATATCTTTAAAAAAGTCCTGAATTTTTTGTACATCCGACCGAATTCAGTCTAGAAGCAGGTACATCAAATTTGGAGAAAATTGGTTCAGATATAGCTAGTTATAGCTCCCATATATTTTTTCATCCGATTTGGTGCCCTCAGTCCCTCACATATATATCCTTAATCCGATTTCAAGTTTATCGTGTAAATAATGGCTAATATCAGCCCAAATGGAATGAATTTCGGGACGTAATTTCCATTTTGTGCAACTCGGCTCCGATATATATTTATACCCTACAACACTATGTGTTGGGGGTATTATAAGTTTGATTGGGCCAAAAATTATGTAACACCACGAAATATTGGTTTCCCACATAGGAAAGTATATATGGATCTTCCTATCTCGCCGAGCTGAGTCGATCTAGCTATGTATGTCCATCCGTCCGTCTGTCCATGTTAATTTGTAATCACTCTACAGGTCGCAATTATGGCCCGAAATTTAGAATGGGGCTAGGGTCAGAATAGAACCCTATTTCTTTTGGAGATGATCGCATAATATTTAGGGGTTGAAATGGACCAAAAACTGAAATAATTCCTGATTTTGCAGGTGCTCTACAGGTCGCAATTATAGACCAATCAAAGCGGAAGTTTGCATGGGGCTAGAGCTTAGGGCTGGGCAGAAGCATTCCAATTTTGATAGTCATCGGGTAATATTTAGTGGGTGAAATAGGCCACAACATTTGTGTTAAATAAAAGTCAAATTTTCCATTAAACCACGAATATTTTTAATCCCGGCGAAATCACAAATAGACGAACAGGTCAATTCAGACCGTTACGTAGATGCCGATAGTAAATATATCGGTTATATATAGCGAAATATATACAATGTGTATATACAAAGGAAGGGGATTTTAGTTAGAATGCTTATATCTCAAGAATGGCTGGACCGATTTTGACAAATTTTGTCAATTCAGAATGCTATCTTGACATAAAAATATAAAATCTAAAAAAATTGCATAAAAATATGCCAATACAAATGTTAGTATAGATTTTGTAGTATTTTGTGACATTTCATTTTTTATTTTTTCATATTTTTTATCGCATGCGATTTTTTCAATTTGACTTATAATATTTTGTAATATTTTTTCACCTTACAACACAGGTTGTGGATATTATATAAGTATTGCAAATATCGTCCGATCCTCACGTAAATTTTAAGAAGAGTAAGGTTGGGCTCAGAATTGCTAGGCCTATTGTTTTCTAAGATGTCCGCAATATATATATATATATATATATATATATATATTGAAATGGACCAACAACTAAAAATTTTCCTGATTTTGCATCCGTTATAAAGGTCACAAATAGAAACCAAATGACACGAAATCTCGCATAAAGTTAGAGTGAGTCTAAATTTGGAGATACGGAGGGGCTTCTTGCTTTTGGAGATTATTGCAAAATATTCAGGGGTTAAAATTAACCAAAAACAGAAATGTTTTTCCGATCACATAATTGAAGCCAATCGACACGCCTGTGAAGAGAGTTAAGGACAGGGAAGAATTCTAGCATTTTGGATGACCATTGGATTATATTTAGCTATAAAATGGACTACAACAACTAACAGCCCGACGGAGTGCAGAAATATTGGCAAATGCCCCTAGTCAAAATCCTAATTTCAAAAGCGAAATCTTCCAATATGGATTAGGACATAAGAGGGCTTCTAACATGTTGTAGTGTTGTAGTGTATCACATAGTCGGCCCCGCACGACTATAGCCTTTGCTTACTTGTTTTTTAATATAATCCTCCTCCAAGTGATATCATGCACTCTATAGCAAACTATAACTGCTCGAAAACCAAATGTTGATGGGTGGTATGATCTACTTGAAATAAATTCTTTTGTTACGGGAGATCTACTGAATATGGGTATCATATAGTTGGCACTGCCCGATTTTTTACTTGCCTTACTGGTTTTGAATTATTTCTATCTCTCTCTTTTATATTTAGCTGGAGGTGTCTTTTATAGAATTCAATTTGACCCATTTTTAATTGACCTCTTAATCCATAAAATACCTTTTGCATTATTTCAACCAATGCCTGTGGGAAACTCAATACTTTTATCTATTTCCTTTCAGTTATTGACAATCATACATTCTGTAGGACGGTGTAATGCACATCATTTTTTTATTTTATTGCAACAACAAAAATATTTTTTATTTATTTATATCCCGCCCTTGACGCCACCACCTTCTGGAACATGATACCCCTTCCAGGTGTATTTGCCTTGCAAGACATTTGTTATCTCTTTAAAATCCTTAGAAAAGAACCAGTGACACAATACGAACATAGCCCTTGGCCTTTATTTCCCTTTTCACAAAATAACCCCCACAATTGTAATGGGTTCTTTTAAATTACACCTCTATTTTATCAAATTTATCAATCTCACTAATCATATTAAGTAGTTGAACAAATATTTGCTTCCTCATGTTTTCTAATTTTATGTGTTTTCTTTTCATTTTTTTTTTTCATTTCTTTGCAGTGATTTGTGTGACAGCCCCAAAAATAACCCGAAAAACGGAAGTAATCGGTCTTCGTTCGACGATCTCTCTTGGCAAACATTTGGCATATCAAAATAAATAGAACTCTGTTTTGTTTTTATTTTTATTCCTCTTCAAATTTAATTCCACAACTGAAAGTAAGAAAATAAATATTCGAACAAATCACCTTCTCTCCAACTTCCCGTCCCCCCGTACGATTATCATTAATAGAAACAAAATCGATTGTTGGTTTCATGAGATTTGATCCGTAACTCCGAATTGCAAAGATGACTTGAGATCACATGAGTGTTCGGCAAACCGAAAAAAATATTTGATATCTCCTCATCTCCCGCCTTGCCCAAACTCGAAAAGAAACAGAAATTTTAGAAGTACCGAAAGATAAATTTTCATAACTGTATCTGCCGCAACATAAAACTTACAGTGATCTTCTAACAACAACAACCACCACAACAACAAAGAACACATTCCTTACAACATTGTTGCTGTCGTTTCGTGTTCGACAGTGTGGGTGTACGGTTATCAACGCTCTCTTCATTAAGTCATACATCTCGCCACCAAGTCATACATAGCTACATGTATGCCAGCACCGAATGCGACGCACATCATCGGGATACACTATACGGTAACCGAAGACTTTTGTTTCAAACAACCTGAGGTAAGTTTCGAACGCAAAATTTTAAATTATTAAGATATTTGCCACTCCAGTAATAATTCAGCAACCGCTATGCTCCATACGAGGGTAGTATGATAATGTAACGATTTAACAAGGTTTCTTATGCATTCTAAATATAGAATGAATTCTATAAAGGGATGCCCGGACACAGTCCCCATTGCAATTATGGGGATTGTGTTCGTTTTGGGAGCGGGGAGTATAACAGTTTTTCTGGGGGGATTATGTCCGAAATATGTTTCCCAGCAAGAAAACAAGGCTTAATTTGAGTTTAGGGGCTATGCTTGAAATTTTTATCACAAAGTCATTTTTTCGTGAGGGAAAAGTCGGTTACCTGGTTATTCGATTCGCAGTTCGGATACAAAATGGATATACCTATCCAACAAGTGGTCATATGATGGGGTTGGAGCAATACAAGAAAATTGGCATTTTTGTACCAGAACTTTTTCTATAACCAATTTTTTTACTCTGGGGTATTAAGATATTTATACGAAGATGGTGACAAATGTCCTGATATCTCTTGTAGTTCTGTAGAGATTTGTGATAAAAATCACAGGTTCAGATAACCCCATCATATGACCACTTGCATAATCTTTCACATGATACCCATTCTGTACATATCAATTGTAGAGCCGAATAAAACTTGGATTTTTTATTCGAAATTTCCTGTCGTATAACCGGATAATCGGATATTTCCCCCACGAAAAAAATACTTTCCCGTAATCAAGTTAAAAATATTTACCCCATAAGGGAGTTTATGTCCGCAATCGTTTTTGACATAATCCGCTTTATTATCGGAATTGATATAGAGGTGGTTTCACTCTTACCGGTTGTGTTATCAAAGGCTCCCATTACTTTGTCAAATATACACGAAACTAGCCACATTTGCCAACAATCCTTGTGGATGGTGTAACATCTATTTTATACTACACACTCTTTATATGAAGTTCTTTTCCGGCAAGTTCCTGGTGAGCAGTTATTTTAATTTATTTTTATATAAATTGCACAAGAAAACTAAAATTGCACTGGAAAGAATCAATATTCACTAACACAGCAACGATAATTATAAACAAACCGTCTGTGCTGTTCTAACAAACCACTGATTAAACAGCTGTCCAGCTAATCGATATCCATCATACCGATATCGATAACACATAGGCATATTTACACCGTTCTATAGTTCTGCTTATATGAGTAATAAAAGAACACTATTATCGACATCACCTGATTCATTACAAGGTACACCCAGCAAACGTTTGTTGTCAAAAAAAATGTCGGTTAATAATAACTCTGAGCAAGACGTCTTTTCGTGGAGTAAGCTATGCGAAGTATTGGATGTTAAACTAAAAGATGTCGCAAGGAAAGATGACATAACTGCATTACATGCGGAAATAGAAGAACTTAAGGTGGAAAATGCTAAACTAAAATGTGATGTGAAACTTTTGTCCGACCGTTTGGAAATGGTCGATCGCAAATGTAGATCTACAAATATTGTTGTGAACGGCTTATGTTGCACTAATCCCCATGCTGGTAAAAATAGATTTGTTGACGTTTGTAAAAACATGATTGGAGTTGACATGAACATTTCTCATACCAGAATGCTATCATCTGGAAAAACATTTATATTTACTCTTGACACATATACCGATGTCCATACCGTTTTATCTGCAAAAGGAAAATTAATGGAGCAACAAATATATGTACACAAAGACTATACCCCTGATGAATTGAATACACGTTACAATCTTCGTCGTTTTGCCAAATCCTTGGCGCATAAGAATGAATATAAAGTACGTTTGGGTGAATTCTGTGTATTCATAAATGATAAGAGATACTCCTGGTCAAATGGCAACCTATTGGCTTCTTCTGAGTTAGATGCAAAAATCTTATCCGATATTTTGGCCGACTGTAATAGCGATTACAACGTTTTACACTCTAATTCTAAGATTAAAAAAACCAATAATTTTACACAATAGCAATTTGATAAATGCGATTTATTATCATACAACGTAGCAAATTTCAATAACTCCTTAAATTTCGGCAATTTTATAACATATTTAAACAAATTTGAAATTTTTTTCCTATTTGAAACTCATGTGGTGCACAATAAACGTTCCCAATTTTCATCTTACTTTCGAAACTATTGTATCCAATGGGTTGATGCCAAAAAAGTGAATAACGCTGGTCGAGCTCGCGGGGGTTGTCTGTACGGCTTTAAAAAAGTTATCCAGAATAAATTCAATCTTAAATTCATAAACATCCAGGATGAAATAATCTTATCTGCCAATTTTAACGGAAATAAAGTTCATTTTATTCCAAAATATTTAAGCTGTACTGATTGGAAAAATGAGGCTGAAAAATTTCGCACCTTCTTGCAGAATGTAAACCCTACAAATTTTTGCATCATTGGTGATTTTAACGCTCGTATTGGCGAAGAACAAATATTGGAAAGAAATCTTCTACGCGATTTTCCTAATTTTAACAGTAAGAGAAATTCCAAAGACAAAACAATTAACTCACAAGGGAGGAAACTTTTAAACATTATTGAAGATATTGGGGGCATTGTACTTAACGGCAGGACAACCGGTGATGATTTTGGCGATTTCAGTTTTTGTGGTGTTATGGGAAGCTCGGTTATAGACTATTGCTTTGTTTCGTCAAACTTCCTTACTTATGTCAATAAATTTCAAATTGCATCAGAACCTTTCTCCGACCATATGCCTTTATGCCTTGAAATGAAGATTTCCTCAGTCAGGTTGAATATAGACACTCAAAATGGTTTAGATAGACTCTATTGGAAAAATAGCCATTGTCAGAGTTACCAAGAAAATCTCTCCAACCGATTATGTAATACCTCCATTCTGAATGAGATCTCAGTCGATGAAATGGTCAATGTAGTTATTGCCAATATAAAATCTGCAAATGTAAAAATGCCCAAGAAAAAATACTTTGTACCAAGACAAAAATGGTTCGACTGGCGGTGTTACCGTTTCAGGACTGTTATGCGCAAACATTTAAAAGAATATAGGAGTAATCATTCGATAGAAAATAGACATAGATATTACAGCTCCCGTGTAAACTTTCAAAATGTGTGCAAACAAAACAAAATGAAATACCACAACAATAATTTAAGGAAACTGCAATATGTAACATGTAGCAAAGACTGGTGGCAATTGTCCAACTCATTAAAAGATCGTAGCATTTCTGATATAGGTGATCTCAGGGCGGATGATTTTGTGAAGCATTTTAGCGTATTACTGTTGGATAGTCACGACCAAAAAATTAGTTGGTGTATGCCTCCTTGGTTCGATCCTTTCTTGGACTCCCCTTTCGAATTATGCGAGCTTAACACTGTTTTAAAAAAGCTAAAACTTAGCAAATCACCTGGAGATGATGGAATCCCATATGAGTTCTACAAATATGGTCCTCCTTGTTTACACAATTACATGCTGTCACTTTACAATTACATATTTCTACATGAGGATATACCATCATCATTCAAGAGGTCCATTCTAATTCCATTGCACAAAAAAGGTGACAAGAACGTTGTTACGAATTATAGGGGCTTGTCTCTCATAAATACATTATGTAAAGTATTTTGTAATATCATTCTGAACCGACTAATACACTGGGTGTCTAGAAATAACATTTTAAACGAATTTCAGGCTGGTTTCAGAAAAGAGTACTCTACGGTTGATAATATATTTAATCTAACCAATATTGTCTCACTAAACAACCAAACATACAAACATACATATGCTTTTTTTGTGGACTTTTCGTCGGCATTTGACCTCATTCCAAGGAACAGTTTATTTTATAAATTGTCTACCATGGGTCTTTCATCAAAAATTTTAAGAATTTTACAAGCAATGTATGAATGTTCTGTAAGTAGAGTATGGGACGGAAATACTTACTCCAGTTTCTTCCCTGTAGATTCGGGTGTAAAGCAGGGATGTATCCTCAGTCCAATGTTATTTTCACTATACCTAAATGATCTACACGATATTCTTCCAGGCGGACTTTATGTTGCAAATACCAACATAAAAATCTTACTCTATGCTGATGATATTGTCATATTATCAAATACGCCACAAGGACTACAGGAAATGATTGACGTACTATGTGATTATTGCCTCATGTGGAGCCTTAAGGTCAACCTCGCAAAATCAAAAATAGTTGTCTTCAGAAAAGGTCCGAGAATTTCAAGAGACCTTAATTGGCATTTTGACAATCAGGATATTGAAATTGTGAATAATTATAAATACCTGGGAGTTGATTTGTCCTATAACTTATCTTTCAATAAGCATATAAAAAACAAGCTCTCTGCCTCCAAAATAGCTATAAACTCTACATGGTCAAAATATCTATCCAACAAAGAGATATCACGTAAAAGCAAATTAAAAATATTTGATGCTTGTTCAAAATCAATAATGCTATACGCTGCACAAGTTTGGGGATATAAAAGAAACGACGATATGGAAAAACTGTTTCGCTTTTTTATTAAAAGAGTATTATTTTTACCAGAAAACACTCCGAACTACTTGCTTTATATTGAAACAGGTTGGAATACTCTTTATGTTACTTCACTAAAATTGCATTTCAGTTATGTTAATAAAATACTACGCCTTAACCCCCTAAGACTTCCACGAATTTTAGCCGTGATTATTGCCTCATGTGGAGCCTTAAGGTCAACCTCGCAAAATCAAAAATAGTTGTCTTCAGAAAAGGTCCGAGAATTTCAAGAGACCTTAATTGGCATTTTGACAATCAGGATATTGAAATTGTGAATAATTATAAATACCTGGGAGTTGATTTGTCCTATAACTTATCTTTCAATAAGCATATAAAAAACAAGCTCTCTGCCTCCAAAATAGCTATAAACTCTACATGGTCAAAATATCTATCCAACAAAGAGATATCACGTAAAAGCAAATTAAAAATATTTGATGCTTGTTCAAAATCAATAATGCTATACGCTGCACAAG